CTTGACGTTACATATTTACAAAAAAAAACTGCTAATAAAGCAAGAACAAATTTTGGACAAACACACAATTAACATGCACACACTGGGTAACACAGTCAAGGGCTGCTACGGGTTAAACAACCTGAATCAATAATGAATTTTTGGACACTTAAGAATAAATTAATATTCGTAGCAATAGAAACATTCCCGATACCATAAAGTAACCACTTAAGACATGTACCCTTGCCAGCACCCGACCATGCTGTACCAATTAAGGAAGCAGCAGAGGTGAGCAAAGTTTTCCGAATAGCAGCATATCAGTCACAGTCGAAAAAGAAATGAGCTGTAGTTTCTTTTGGAAAACCACATGCACAAAAAGAGGAAGAATCACAATTTTATAAATATAAATCGTAGTTTAATGTACTATTAGATAATCTCAAACAAGTATAAAAAGTAGCTGGTAGACGATCACCTATTTCGTATAGCGGATTGGGAGCTACAAACTTGTGTAGCTGAGTCACACTGTTTTTAAAAATGGCAATTGAACAAATAGTCGCTGAAAGGATGAATACGCGTCATGTGTGTGGTCACCTTACTCGGCGAAACAACGTAAATTAATAGAGAACATTCAACGCAAAAAATTCATTCTGAACTACCCTCCTCGTGCTGTTACCTACAGAGACAGACTATTATCCTTAAACTTTCTCCCACTTGAACACAGGCGTGAACTTTATGACCTAAGCAAGAACGGACAACAGATTTATATAGAATTTCAAGGGGGTTTTTCCTAGCTTAAATTTCATTGGGTTTAAGTAAGTTAAGTTTTTTTGAAGCCTTTTGATGAATTTTAAGAATATGAGGCTGCCACGATAATTTATTATTAGTAAGAGTAACGCCCAGGTGATCATGTTGGTCAACTATATCAATTGATTCGTTGGCCAAAGTAAGCATAGGATGCAAGGGCTTGATTAACTTGGAAGAAAATATCATGTTTTTTGTCTTGTTAGCATTCATGGTCACCAGCCATCGATCAGCCCACATTGATGTAGAATCAAGATCGTTATTTAGCTTGTTAGTCAATCGGCGATATGACTTCATCAGCGAAAAGAAAACCAGTGGAAGAAACATCAGCTATGTCGTTGATATAAATCAGAAATAACAATGGTCCAAGAACAGATCCTTGAGGTACTTTGGCTTCAATATGTGCCCAGTGAGAGCTCTTTCCCTCAATGGTTACGCTTTGATATCTTTCAGTCAAATAACTTTCAAACCATTGAAGTAAGGGGCCATTTATGCCAACACTTTTAAGTTTGGCTAATAAACCTTTATGCCAAACCTTATCAAATGCCTTGGAAATATCAAGAAATACTGCACATACTTCATTTCCTATTTCTAATGCTTGATAAATTTTATTAACAACAAAAACTAATTGCATAACTGTGGAATCACCTGGTCGAAAACCTGACTGAAAACAATAGAAAAAATATGTACGCTAGGCGTACATGTATCTGCACATCGATCGATGTTACTGTTAATTAATGGAGCATTGTGACATTTTACAGCATAGTTAAAGAATAAGAGATCCAACAATTTAAGAAATAATTAATGAGCTCAAATACCGGTTAACTCATTAACGCACAAGCTGTTAGAAAGTTTCTACCTCCCAACGTGCAAGCAATATGGCGAATACGTGATTGAATTCAAGAGCTTTCACCAAAATGGCAATATCTCAGAAACAGTTCCATGAAAAAATCTGGTCTTTTCTACCAAATTTTATTGATATATGATTGACCACATTTAGTTTAAATGAACTTGCATACCTATGTATATCATTAGTTTTTTCAATGAGAATTTTTATTTCTAAAGCAGTTGACATTTTGTTTTTCATGTCACTCATCACCTAAAGGGGCAAATATCTCCATAAATTTATATAAAAACAAAAAAAAATTATTTACTAAATTGGTACATATCTATATTATAACCAATTTTCATCTATTGGGATATGAATTAGAAAATTATCAAAAATTATAAAATATACTCCTTTGCTTTTTTTGGGCAAGATGTGATTACAACATGAAATTTAGAACAGTAAGTGTTCAAATTCAACAAAGTGTGCAAACCAAAACACAGTGCTTGTACATCTTTCAAGTTTTTAATTGCTTCAAATATATTTATAAGGACATATGGTACTAGAATCTATTTATTTTCAATATAAACCAAGGATGGGATTGTGAGAAAATAGGAATTTTCTGAGGTGTTTTTAACACAGACAATGACAGCCGACATTTTCAAAGGCAAATTGTGGTGACAAAACCAAAAGATATTAACCTCTCTACTCAAAGCACTGAAAAACACCATAAAAAGAAAAACATTTTAAACATACATCAGGTAAGACTTTTAGCTCAATTGTTTCATGTTTTTGTTGGAAAAGCAACGGTTTTTAGCCAAAATTATTTTGCGTGCCAATGTAGGCTGCTATAAAATGTCAGACACGCGTTCTCTTTTGAAGTCTGGCTCTGAAAAACAATCGCTTTTTTTTAGTTTGAAATAAGCCTTCATAAGGACTATTGTGTAGAAATGTTATCTATATGCTCACATGAAAAAGATAACCTAATATTCAGGTATTCCACATAGCTATAAAAGGGTGAAATAAGAACTTTCATCTTTGGTTGTTTGTCAGACGTGAGAAACCACATTAGTGCCATTTTGTCGCGCGTGAATATCAAATATCATGCCCTCAAGTTGAGGTGTTATTTGAGGGTGCATGGCGGGCACATTGTCCTGTTACCCACTTGTCAATCTCAGGGCGCATACGGGCATTAATGAGTTAATCGTATGAAAAAATTCTAAAAAGGTTGGGATTTTTGTTAAGATTTATTTGTTTGAGTCACGGCCATCACTATAGGATTCCCACTATAATAAATGCCAGAGATAGACTTGTTGCGAGATCACGATTATTATGATTTATGGAAACCAGGGTTTAAGGCATTTAAATATACAATCTCCAAAAAAATTCGGGCAAGCTTTCAAGTGGCCTGCCCAGCACAAAAACCCCCAAAATGTTTCATGCAGTTTCATTGGTACTGGCGTAAAGGAAAGGTGCAAAACCAAAATTCATACAATAAAATTATTTTATTGTTTATACATGAAAAATACAAAATATAAATCCCATCCCAATACTGTATAGAATTACCAACATTTTTAAAGTTCAAACAAACTGTCAATTATATAAAATAGTTTATTATGAAATGTTTTAAGCTCCCTTGTCATTTGCTAGCTCAACGTTATTGTTATGTTGAGTCAATCGAGTAATCACCAAATGTGGGTAAAACCTTTAGCAACATATCTTTAAACAAAATGAGACGAAAAGGCTCTTGTTTCCCACTGATTTCCATCATTACGCTGACAAAGATATTTTTCTTACAGCAGCTTCGATTTATTGTGTGTCCGCACAAATTGCACTTTACTACCGATTTTCCCGAGTCTTCAGTGTTTGACTTTCTTACGATGATTTTCTTATTATTATACATACATGTCACTTTCACAGCCGGGTTCGATTCCGTAGTTTCTATCTCGTTTTCATCAATGCTGACCGACAACAAGATAGCATATGCTCTTTATTGGACAAGAGCATAATGTTCGAGTCTTGGGTAGTACTCAGGTTGATGATGTTATTCCACTCTTTTATTCGCAATCCGGTGAATGAATATAGTCCACCAACTTCAACAAGAGAAATATGACCTTGCTAAAGGTCCAGTTTTATGGACGATGATCCATCACATAGCATTGTCTCAGCGAGATTTAACTGATTCCTTCCGACAACTTTCGTCTTGCCCTTTTTCGTAATCTTGCCCTTGACACTAACAATATCGAAAAGTTTGCCCGTTTCAGTGACATTTTTCAAGGGTATAAAGAGCGGTTGCTGTTGTTTTTGAGGCGACGAAATTTGGAAGGAATATTCACCATCTTCTGACCTTGACCCTCGACTCATTTTCTCACTATTGCGTTTTTATCAGATTGTTTTCATTTTTGAAGAAAGCAAATGCTTCATAATTGCTTTTAGAGAGTTTTTACACTAAACTTGGAAGGTTTTTTGAAAAATAAAAAGTATTTCAGGTCAGAAGTAATTTTTTTATTTGGCCTATAGCACATATAGCATATCAATTTTGACAATTGCTATTACTGTAATGGATCAGTTTTTAGCAAGTGTGTTATATTGGTAAAAATAGCTAGAATGATAAAAACGATGGACTTGATTGACATTTACTTTCACATTCAATTAGTGTGAGAATGGACTGCAAATTGCACTGTAAGCAAAATTTCAATTAAAGTCTTGTTTGTACTATTCTTCCTATTGTTTTGTCACTATTGCTATTTAATGGAGTTTTTATTAGATTGTTTTGATTTTTGAAAAAAGCAAATGCTTCTTAATTTCTAAAAATGTAGAGTAGTAAAAATTGAAAATACAATTGTGCAATATCTCAGGCATTATAGAAGTACAAAGATTTTCTAAATTTGGTCTTGGTTAAGATGTGCCAATTTATTAAGACCTCACTCATAGACATAGGTTTCAATGAATGCTAGCAAGAAAAAAATAGGCACTCAAAGAGTGCGTAAGGATTTGCAATTTTGTTGTCAATTTTTAAATAATGCAAGAAAGATTGAAATATCAGTTCATAATGCAAGAACGATGGAAAAATATCACCCAAAATGTAGTATAACAAAATACAATATCATGAATGACAAATCTTTTCTTCGAATGTATTCAAAGTTAATCTACTACAACTTTTAAATGGCTTTATCACTGCCTCAAAGATAAAAGAATAACTGGATTTGTAGAAATGTTTAATGTTGAAGATATCTTATAATTTAACGTTTGGATAAAAAACAAAACACAATAATTTCGATGTTTTCGCATTCTGCAACAGGCGATACATTTCTAATTCATTTCCAATGAATGAAAAATGGAAAAATACAGTTTTTGTAGTGGAAACACCGCTTTTGATTTTATTTTATACGGCCGCTCCTGAGTTGAACGAATTTGTCTTTTAGGACCTTTTTCATTTGTATTTCTAACACAAAACAGTCATATATTCATTTGTTTAGCTGGAAGTAAGTGGTACAATGTTTAGTTGTTGGTGTATTCTACGAAAATGAGCGGGGTTTTTGCCCGAAAGATTGCGAATATCGACAAATACAAATGGCGGATAATAGCTTCCGGCGGTTCGCGAATACTCTACTCGGAACTCAACGTCACTAATGTGTTACTATCTATCTATCTTACACATCCAATGACATAAAGGATTTTGCTTCACAAATCCTTAAAAATTGCATGGGCGCCTGCCCACTGGACAATGTACATGTTACCGACTCCGTACTTCTAAATATATGTGGATCAAATTACAATCTGGACCAAAACTATTCCTTTTCACATGAAGTCTAAAATAAAATAAAGTCGATTCTTAAAGAGGCGTGCTTCAAATAAAACAATGTCATAATGTGGAAGCACCGAACAAAAATTTGCTTAAAATTTTGCATGTTCTGTGATGACTGTGTTTCTTCTCTGACTGTGTAGTTTTTAAAGTATTTAACAATACAGCAAAAGCATAATGGTTATTAATTTAACAATATCAAATCTTGCGTATTTGACCAGTACAATTCAAATTTCGCTTTATTATTATATTTACTTTAACTCCTTGATGGCTGCTATTTTTCTGTTCTCTTTACAGACATCATTCTGTAATTGAAACTATGGGGGCGAGGTGCTCTGACAGATCTGAAAAAGGCTTGTCCATGCACAAGCTTAGCAACTATTGGCTCCCTAGATTTTCAGAGTCTTTCTTCATCCATGCAATGAACAAAATATGTTGACGTTGTTATTGAAATACCCAGCGACAGCGTAGATATTTGAGAAAAATATATACAATTTCAAAGACATCTAGTTTCGAATTCACCTATTACGTTTCAGCCAGAAAGCTATCTATCATCCCCCATGCACATGAACTAATCAATAGTTTTAGCAAAGATCAATAGTGTTAGCAATGATACAGTTTGCAACTACTTATGCTTTAGCAACACTTTTTTTGCCCAGTATTATATTCACCCTCTTGCTTCATGATCATAAAAAATTAAAGATATATGTTTCGAAGACCTACTCATGGTGATCTCATTGTGGCCATGAGGGAGTCAGTGATTTGTACAAATTCTAATTTGGCGTTGCACACAACATACACGTCATTGAATCAGTAACTTGCAAAGGAAGATAGATGTTTGTTGAACAAGGTTTTATTATTAAGTGTTAGATGCTGTACCAGATAACATAAAATGGCCGATTAGATTCCAATAACATAAACCCTAACACATTATTTTTTTATTTTCCCCCCTATGTACAGCTTTGTTAATATTTACAAATATTGGGCTAGGGACCTACTAGAAACCCTAACAGGCTTTTTAATTTAGGCCCCTAGTTATAGTTCATTGTTATCTATTATATATTTACAGTAAAATCAAAAAACAATTATCTTAGACTGTATTATTTACAAAAAGGAAGGAAAAAACTATAAAGAAAAATAATTACAGTACAAATATACATCATATATAAAGGCATATTGACACTCTGTTTAACTTGTTTTTTGAAAGCAGTGCAAGAGTTTATATCTTTGATATTTCATTCTAGTAAGTTCCATACATCAGCACCTTTATTTGAAAGAGTATGCTTTGCATAATACCGTCAGATATTTCACTGGTCCATATGTTCGCATAAATATTTTTATTTTTTTATTTGTGCATGGCTCGTGATATTTTTTGATTTCCTGCAATCTGATTGGCTGCAGGAGCGGGCAGCTTTTTACGATATCTTGACCGTGGTCCAAAAGAGTTATTTTTTAGCGACAAACCGAGGAGTGAAGACAATTTTCAAACTCAAAACACTACCCAAAAAGTTTTAAAATCCACCCTATCGATAAGGACAGTAAAATACAGTGAATTGGCTTCAGTGGACTTAGTTCCAAGCCCGAAATGTACTTTTCTCCGACCAAACTGCGAAAAAACAAATATAAACATCGAAAAACACTGGCCCCCAGTGCTACATGTTTTGATTCAAACGTTACACATATATTCAGCTATTCTTCGAAAATATACGTATAAATATATTGTACAACCTGTCCTTAAAGATAAAATTTTAAAAAATACCTTAAATGGCAGTTTAAAGACAATTCCTGGGCTTATTTTGGTCAAAATTGTTTTTATAAATGTTGTAATGAACAAATTGTTTTTCGGCAACTAAAATTTGTAGTTTTCTGTCAAAAAGCATTTTTCAGTAAAACGAATCGGAAAGTAAATATTTTTATTTAGTTTACCTTATGTTTTCTTATTGAGTAGGAAAGCATCTATTGCAATGAAACTAAAAGCTATTTATCCAGCTTTTTATCACATCGTTTTAGCAGTTTGTCAGCCATGCTTGCACTAATGTAACAAAAGCAACTGATCTCAAATGTACTTTGCAACTGGAATTTTATCAGAATTTCATAACCATGAACTATCAAATAAAAAAATAAAGGGTCGGTCTGTACTGAAAAAATATTTTCTCTCGGCCTCAGAAGCATCCCTCGGCCTGACTATTAATACTGCTGACTTGCGCCACCCTCGCGTCTTTTTGTGGAACGACCTACATAGATAAAACAAACTACCAATACCATTAATTAACAATGCATGGGAGGCAAAACTTAGAGAGGTGGGAATGCATTGTTAAATCTTGTCTCATATCCCTCATATAATTAATATTATACTGCATCTGTAAACAGACTTGCATAATCTAAAATTATATTTCGAGATGCTTGACTTCAATTTAATGCATGTTCAAAGCAATATAATCAAGGCCTATATGCTGATAAAACTGCCGTACCAGGTGAAACGTTAGAGTGAGGCCTATAATAGAATTTTGAAAATGTATTTTCTTGTGACCAATCTGCCATATTTAAAATCTCTGAAATAGAGATTCCTGACCTTAAAGCTTCAGAAGTAGAAGCTCCCCTAACTGAATGTGCAGAAAAAGTCTCTGTATCTATGCCTGCTAACTGTAGCATATCCTTAATCCATCTCGCTAACATGGATGATGTGACTGGGTTATGAGGATTATGTATGACAAGAGTTGGTGTTATCCTCATAGCACTTTAAGCAATTAACAGGGCATAAGTCCTTATCTTCTCCAAATGACGCATGGAAGCTAGACTTTGGAGAATCTCCAGGTTTAGATGTTTTAGATAAGCCAGGGAGCTTAAAGAACACACCTTCAGGGTGATATATTCGAAATCGTAAGTCTTTTTTAGCAAGATCCGAAGATCTATCTAGTGCTGTAAGAGCAAGTAATGTGACTAACTTGACTAACAAGTAATGTGACTAACCGAACGATAAACATTACTAGTTCTATATGCCTTTCCATCTTTAAACTGATCTTTGAGAAATTCTAATACAGTATTCAAAGATACTGAAAAGGGATTGATTTCTCGTTCACCACACCAGCCAACACACTTATTCCAAGCTGAAGCATAAGCATTGGTGGTGTTTCGTCTCCATGCTGCCAACAAAATCTCTCTAGTTTCTTCTGAAACATCAGTTGTTTGGAAACGTTGGCTGATAGTTTCCAACCAGCCAACTGGAGGTTGGTTAGAGGATGCAGTTGATTGTCCTTCATTAAGAGATCTGGTGACATTGGGAGTAGTAGAGGAAGATCCGTACATAACTGGAGTATTACTGGGTACTGAGGTTGAGTTGGCCACACTGGAGTTATTAGAATTAATTGTTCGACTTTCTGACATATTACCTGCCTCAAACATCAACCGATTAAGGCAAATGGTGGGAAGGCATATCCCAGAATGGTCTGCCAATTCATTGCAAAGGCATCTGTCTGTATGGCCAGGGGATCTGGCTTCCAGCTGACAAACTGAGGAAGTTGGTATGTCAGCCGAGATGCAAATAGATCGACCTCTAATGGACGAGGTTACTCCTGGTCTAGAGCACAAAAGCAATTACCAGCAACAAAGTAGGCAGCACTCATCAGATATAGATCCCCAGCATGATTCAACTGAAATAATAGCCAAATTAGTTCGGGATGAAGTGTGGCAACAAACACAATTTGCAGCACCAACAAATAGGCCATCAAAAATAGGTATACCCTTGCCACACAACCGTCACCCTACTGATGGACTACCCATATGCAACAAATGTAACAGGGTAGGCCACATTGCTCATAATTGTGGAAGTGTAGAGCAACAATTCCCTGCTGTGCCACACACATGTTTCCCAGAATTCCCCTTTGGCAACCACACAATGGAAATGTATGTCCAAATGACAAACAGTTTCCCGATGGTGGTTTAATATATGCAGGGAAGTGATAAGTTGACTTTAGACAAGAGATACAAAGACCTGACACTGAAAGAATTGTTAATAAGATGAAAAAGCTGCAGCGGAAATACTGAAAAAGACGAAACTAGGAAGTCTGGGAATAGCAAAACAAAGAAATGGAAATATTTTGATCAGATAATATTTTGACAATTTTATTTCCCGAAGACATAACTTCACCCCAGTTGCCATAATAATGATTGTGGCTTAGGTATATTTTACATTAATATATTATTTATAGATGGTCCTGAGGGAGTTTATTCACTGGGACTGGGATTTACAACAATAAAAACAATTAATGGTCAAAAATTAGACCGGGAAATGGGATTACCCCCTCTTTATATGTCTACTAGAAATACATGCATGCAGTGACCCCTCGCCTTGCTAACCAAACCACTATATAAAGCAAAATTGAAGTATCAGCAGTAGTTGTGGTTGCACAACATATTTTTGATTCAAAATTGTATGAAGAAAATAAAAGACCATTACTTTTAATTTTTCACAAATGAAAGTTAAGCCGATGATAAATCTATTACTGAAACATTAAATGAATATTTTATAAATATTGGAATGAAGATGGCTGCTGAATCAGCATGTCAAAGCACTGATGCTTTAAATGATCAAGTAATTTATGAAAGTACTGTGCTTCTTCCTAAAGAAAATTTTCACTTCGCAGATATTACTATAGATAGTGTTTCCAAACGCCTACAAAAACTAAATGTCTCAAACGCGACAGGTATGGATGGAATACCTGCGAATATTTTAAAACTGACATCAACCCTTATTGCTCCATCTATAACTTTTATATTTAACCTATCGATTAGAACTGGTATTTATATAGATGAGTGGAAATTAGCTAGAGTTATACCAATTTACAAATCTGAGGATAAGCGTAAATGCGAAAATTATAGACCAATTTCAATTCTTCCCATAATAAGTAAAATATTTGAAGGGGAAGTTTTTACCCAAATATATAGCTTTTTGAATAAACATGCGCTTCTGTCTAAATTTCAATCCGGGTTTAGACCAAAACATGGAACCTTAGGTGCTCTTATACAAATGTGTGATCAATGGCTACAAGACATGGATGAAGGCAAAATAAATGGAGTTGTTTTTCTTGATATATGTAAAGCATTTGACTCGGTGAATCACGAGATATTATTGGAGAAGCTTAAAACCCAGTTTGGAATTCACGACATTGAATTAAAATGGTTCCAATCATACTTAAGGAATAGAAAGCAAGTGTGTTCTGTTAATGATCAAACTTCTTCTGCAAGAACAATAATATGCGGAATTCCGCAAGGATCCATACTTGGTCCATTATTGTTTTTGCTATATATTAATGATATGCCTGACATTTTAGAAAGGACAACCCCATGTCTTTATGCCGACGACACTCAGATATCTTCCTCTTCGCATGATTACGATACATTGATTGACAATTTGAATATGGACCTTTCCAGTATTCATAAATGGCTTGCTAAAAACAAACTAAAATATCATAGGAAAAAACAAAAGTCATGTTTATTGGATCTACGCATAATCTAAATAATAAAATAGGAAATAGACCCGTTGAGATTAACAAAATCCCAGTCCCACAAACCAATACATTTCAATGTCTAGGTGTAAATCTAGATGAAAAATTAAGTTGGGAGAAACATATTGATTCTGTATGCCATAAGATTAGCGCTGGAATAGGAGCAATTAAAAGAATAAAACCTTATGTTCCACACAAAACCTTACATGATGTCTACAAAACATTAATTCAGTCTCATTTTGATTACTGTTCTCCCCTGTGGGATAACTGTGGTTTGGGACTTCAAGACAAATTGCAAAAATTCCAAAATCGAGCAGCAAGGGTGATTACCGGAGCTGACTACGATGTAAGATCGTCTGAAGTCCTAAACAAATTAGGTTGGGAAACCCTGGCTAGGAGACGAGAACAAAACAAGCTAGTATTGATGTATAAAGTCTTGGGGAACCACACTGCGCCAAACCTTAAAGATCTTTTTTCTCGGAGAAATGCATCGCAGAATATTTATGATTTACGCAATAGCGAAACTGATCTCTCGTTAAAAAAACCGAAAACGGAATTTCTAAAGAAAACATTTGGATACAGTGGAGCAATTCTATGGAATAGTCTCCCGCAAGATGTCAAGGCGGCTGAGTCAATCACGTCATTTAAAACAATGGCGAAATTGCATTTAAGCAGATGATAAGCTAATTTCTCCAGGACCAAATGATGGGAGGACAATATAGATTGTGGGCGGGAAGGGGGTTAGTTTTGCGTGAGGGTGGGTGGGTACTTGTTTAGGGGGTGGAGGTTTGGGAGGAAGATGATAAAATTTTAGGGTGGGATTCTTACATGAGAGAGTTTTTTTTTTTATTATTATTATGAAGTTATTATAAAGTTATTATTATTTTGTTATCGTGATTTGCCCTAGATACTTCTCAGGGAGGCGAGAATTCAGGACACTTGGCACCTCCGACCGGGATTTATGGAGATTTTTATGTAAACAACGAATACAATACATAGCAATATGGCAGAAGAAAACGACTCGAAATCAAGTGTTGAATTGGCGACAAAACTTGTACAACTCGGAAGAGCTAGGGACAAAACAGAAACGATATTACAAGCTGCAAAAGAGAGTGCTATCAAGAGACATGTCGAGACATTGAGAGAGATAATAAACGAAGTCAATAAACTAGTACGAACGATCGAAGCAGAGAAAATTACAGCTAAGGAAAACAGCGACGAGATTGACACATGGATCGGTGAAATAGAGGAGAAATTAAACGAGGGCGACGAGAAAATTACTATTTTAGAACAGTGGTTGAACGAAACGCGAGAGAAACGTGAATATAGCGACCAGAAAAAGAAATTAGACTTTGAAATGGAACTTCATGAGGCCAAGATGAAACTACAAGCTCAACAAATAAACAAAGAATCATCAAAAGAACTGACCTCAAGTGAGATTCCTATTCCAAATTTGCAAGCCAAACTACCGAAATTGACAATTACAATATTTGATGGATCGTATGGAGACTGGCAGAGATTTTGGGGACAATTTTCAGAGACTATTGATAAAACAAATGTACCACCAGTAACAAAATTCACATATTTGAGAGAGTTGCTATGCGACAAAGCAAAACGTGCGGTTGAGGCTCTTCCATTTACTGCAGAGGGTTACAACAGAGCGGTTTCAATTCTCAAGGATAGATTTGGTAAGGAAAGCGAGATAGTAAAAACATATGTCAAGGAGATTCTCGAACTTCCATATACGGCAACATCAAATCCTAAAAGGATACATGAATTTTATGAGAAGTTATCATATTGTGTACAGTCGCTTGAGACATTGAAAAAATTGGAAGCTGTGAATGGAACTGTTGCCATGACATTGGACAAATTGCCAAACATACGGGGTGATTTAGTACGGAACGACTCAGACTGGGAGAAATGGGACTATATTCAACTAACCGAAGCATTACAACATTGGACTCGAAGGAATCCAGTCGAAGCACAGAAACCAGATGATGGGAGGAAGAAACAAGATCGGCGACAAGGCGGTTATCAGTTCTCAACGCAACAGAAGTCATATCAGATAAGTAAAAGTTCTCGGAAGTGTGTATATTGTAGTTCTGAGAGTCATAGATCTGCTGAGTGTGACACAATTTTGACATTCGAGGACAGGAAAAAGTTTATAGCTACAAAACATCTGTGCTTTAACTGCACAGGGCCCTCTCATAGGGCAGCTGAGTGTAAGAGTGTCTCGAAGTGTCGATTTTGCAATAAACGTCATCATACGTCAATTTGTGATGCACCCAAAGCAGACGAGCATGAGATAGCGAAAACAGCTCATACCGGGGGGGATAGTGAAGTTATTTATCCAGTGGTGATGGTTGAAGTAGACGGGATTAAGACACATGCACTGCTCGATACTGGAGCAGGAAGCTCCTATGCTTCCAGTAGTCTAACCAATGCATTGAAGAGAAAACCTAAAGCTGTCAAAACAAAACGAATTGAAATGATGTTAGGATCCACCACCACCAGAGTAGAAATTTATGCAGCCAGCATAAAATCCCTAGATCAGAAATTTGAGCTTGAAATTGAAATGTCAAAAGTTGATAAACCTGAGCTAATGAAACTCAACAACCCAAATTATGCCCACCTGTTAGAGAGATACAAACATTTGAACGGTGCAAAATTCGAAGATCCTGACACCCGTACACAAATACCTGTACACCTTGTGCTTGGGGCTAGTGATTATGCCAAAATTAAAACCACTACGGCTCAAAAGGTGGGGAAGCCGGGGCAGCCGGTGGCAGAGAAAACCCTCCTTGGTTGGACGGTGATGTCTCCAGGGAAGGAGGGTCCCATCCTGTTAACTCAATCCACTACTATAGATTATGAGCAGTTATGTGCATTAGATGTCCTCGGACTTCCGGACAGAAATGAAAATGATCAGAAAACTGTGTATGAGGAATTTGAAGAGCAGCTTAGTAGAGATCAAGCGGGCTGGTATGAGACATCATTAACATGGAAAGGGAATCACCCCCCACTGCCAACTTATGAGAACAGTAGCAAGCGTCGCCTAGAGCAGTTGCTTAAGAAACTTGAACGGAACGGACAGTACAAACAGTATAATGACATTATACAACAACAGTTAAATCAGGGAGTAATTGAGCTGGCACCTACCACTAAAACAGCAAAAGAATTTTATATTCCCCACAAAGGCATAGAAAGGAAGCAAGCTGAGACCACCAAGTTGAGAGTGGTGTATGATGCGTCTGCGAAAGAGAGCGGATTCCAACCATCCCTCAATGATTGCCTCCACCCGGGCCCCCCTCTCCAGAACCTGTTATGGGACGTCCTTGTTAGATCTAGATTTCACCCCATTCTGTTAACAGGCGATTCGAAACAGGCCTTTTTGCAAATCAGAATAAAGGCCGAAGATAGAGATTCATTGCGATTTCACTGGAAAGAGACTGGGAACGATGCAATACAAATCTACCGGTTTACTCATGCCCTGTTTGGGCTGACTTGCTCCCCATTCCTTCTCGGGGGAGTCCTTAAAACCATCTGGATGCTTGGGAAGATCGCTATCCCGAGATAGTGAAGCAATTACGCGAAGGACTGTATGTTGATGGTTTGATTACGGGGGGTACCACAGTCGCAGAAATCCAGACCCAGAAGGAGAAAACTATCGAACTTTTCGACGATGCCACTTTCACAATACACAAGTGGCACTCAAACGTACCTGAACTCGAGCCAAAGAATCAATCGTCATCAGAGATAAGTGAACTAACATATGCCAAAAGTCAACTGGCAGGGATCGAACAGCCCGATGGGAAACTACTTGGTGTGCCCTGGGATAGGAAGCACGATACTATTAGCGTGACCCTCACCACAGACGCTGAACCTGTAACTAAGAGAAGCATCTTGTCAAAATTGGCACGAATCTACGACCCCCTGGGCTTGGCTTCACCAACCACACTGACCGGAAAACTTGTTTATCGGAGTGCGTGTGACAGTAAAATTCCATGGGACGCAGACCTACCAGGGCCACTACGAAAGAAATGGAAGGAATGAAACGAAGCGCTCGAGTCCTATACAATCCCTCGGTCCTTAGCCTCATACCATCAACCAATTCAAGAGATCACCTTGCATGGATTCGGAGACGCGAGCTCAAACGGCGTTTGTGCAGTCGTCTATGCAGTAGTCAAACAAGAGGATGGAGTTACCCAGGGATTGGTATGTTCGAAGTCACGAATAGCGAAGCGGAACTTGACCATTCCACGTCTTGAGCTCATATCGGGACACATGACTGTAAACCTAGCCACAAATGTTCAACAAGCTCTCACTACTCATCCAGCAACTGTTCATTGTTGGCTCGATTCATCCGTAGCTCTGTACTGGATCAATGATCAAGGTGAATACCGACAATTTGTGGCAAACAGAGTACAAAAGATTCGTCAGCACGAGAATGTTACTTGGCATCACGTTCCAACAGCGGAAAACCCAGCCGACATCGGAAATCGGGGAGGAAAGGTCTCTGGGAACACGTTATGGAAAGAGGGTCCATCATGGTTAAACAATCCTGCAGAATGGCCAGTTCAACGAGTTCTGGAACCGACATCAGATAGCAAATCAGAAGCGAAAGTGATTAAAGAAATCTTCAAAGCTGCGCACATTGAAGAAGACATCATGGATTTACTACTTGATAAATATCCTTTACCGAAAGTGCTACGAATTGGAGCGTGGGTTCGACGGTTCATTCTGAATTGTAAACGACAACCGGCAGAGAGAGAGAAAGGTCCCATCAACAGTCGCGAGGTTCAACAACAACGAGAATGGTGGATACGACGGGCCCAAGACGCAGTCAAACACGATGCACGATATTTAGCCGACCGAGAGCGATTAAACCTACAGGAGAACAACCTCGGAATTCTGGAGTGTAGAGGCAGAATTATCGGAGAATATCCCATCTATATACCAGACTTCCATCCTTTCGCGTCATCTTTAGTTCGTGAAGCGCACCTATCAACTCTACACGGGGGAGTCAGTACAACCATGGCGAAATGCTGCAGCAGCAGCTACGTTACGCATAAGAGACATTGCAGAGGATGAAAAGGAACTTTAATTAAAGATTGCAGAGACTTGCTATGTGAACACTTATCGAAAGACAATTAATTAGTTCGTAATAAACATTTATATTATTCATAAAATTACTTAGTTACCCAGTTCGTATTGTGACATGTAAACTCTCAGAGTATACATGGGGGAGTGTGTAGCGAACTGGGCTCATTACGGAGCTTTACGAAGCCAAGACGAACATTGACATATTTTGTGATGGGTCACGTGATTAACAAGCATGCGAGACTAACCAGCGAGAGAGGAACAGTGAGAAATCAGTGAGAGAGATTTGTATTTTATTATTATTATAAAGTTATTATTATTTTGTTATCGTGATTTGCCCTGGATACTTCTCAGGGAGGCGAGAATTCAGGACAGCTATAGCTTCGCCATGCACTGAAACTTACTGAACTTCAGACATCATTTTGCCTTTCAATTGGCGCACCATTTAAAATCTCTTTCATTTAAGCACTATTTTACATACTATTTTACATAAAAAGCTACGTTCACACTACACCGTTA